CACAAAATGTACAAAAAATAGATCCCAGTCAATTTTTCTGTAACTTGGCAGAAATGTAGATTTTTGCATTCTGAGCAAAAAAGTTCTCTGGCAAAATCCAAAAAAATGGACAGTTTTCGAGATACATGGGCTTAAACATGGCAAATATTGAACTTACGTGTATTATATATTAATGTTTAGTTGTAATAAGTCTGTCATAAATAGTTGTAACTTGTTACCTGAAGGTTTATAGGGTTACCGAATAAGAATCTATAGTCAGAAACAAAAAATTAAAACCGAGGGTTCCGTACCCTTAAACCTAAAATTTAAGGGAGTTAAAGTGTGAAGCCAGGTGGAAAAATTCCAATTTTGCTTAATTTTTCCTGTAATGTGAGCATGAAAACACATAGATAGAAACATAGTCACATATATCGAAAATTATCAGTTTTTCCTTGAAAACGCTATGATTATCAACTTCAATCATGCTCACTATAAGTTTCTTGTAGTCTACACGTAAAAATACGTAAAAATGTATAAATTTGAAGCCCTTTAGATAAAATTTTCTACGTTTTTTGAAGAAAATTCATGATTTTTATCGAAAATTATCAGTTTTTCCTTGAAAACGCTGTGATGATCAACTCCAATCGTTCTTGCTATATTTTTTTTGTAATCTACACTTGAAATTACGTAAAAATATATAAATTTGAATCCCTTGAGATAAAATTTTCTTCTTTTTTTATTCGAAAAATCAATGATAGTAGTAGAGCTATGAGAGTTCTAGGACAGGTTCATATCTCGGCTAAGTTACCTACAGTCGGTAATGCAGATTTACCTACAGTCGGTAATGCAGATTTGCCAACTGTCGGTAAGGTAGAAACCTGTTACAAATTTTGGTTCAACCGATAAGGTAGGGATCTGTTTTACCGACCTTCAATTGTTATTAACAAATTTAATTGTTATTAAAAAATATAACAATTTAATTATTAATTTTTACTATTTATTAAGGTAATTTTATGCATATCATATTGCAATATATTTATTAACAATTTGTCATAATTGTTATTAACAAAGGTAAATTGTTATTAAAAAATATAAAATATAACAATTTAATTATTAATTTTTACTATTTATTAAGGTAATTTTATGCATATCATATTGCAATATATTTATTAACAATTTGTCATAATTGTTATTAACAAAGGTAAGTTATAATAATTTGTTTTTGCTATTTATTAAGGTATTTTTACGTATATATTTTTCAATTTAATTTTGCAATATAATTATTAACAATTTGTCATAATTGTTATTAACGAAGATAAGTTGTAATAATAATAATAATTAATCAATATTTTATTTGAAAATATTCTATTATTAATAGTTGTTTAAACATCTAATATGCATTTGTAAATTTTTTCAATTAAATATTAATGAATATAAATTTATTAATTAGTTATACTGCACTATTGTAGTTTTAAATTTGAATTTAATTCGCGCCTAAAGTGACTTATCGAAGCATTGCCAACATAAAAAATGATATCATTTTGAATTTAAAACAAGTGTTTTAGTATTGATAAGTTATTAAATTTATTTTTATAGTACTATTATTTGCTTATTAACAAAGGTAAGTTGCATTTATTATCTAATATTTTATTGTTTATTTATAACTATTAATTATATAAAACTATTATATATAAACTATTAATAGTTGTTTCTTGAAATATAAAATTTATAACTAATTTTATTTACATCGTTAGCATTATTATTATTATTAAGTGATTATTTATTAAGGTAAGTTAATTTGCTGAAAATATTTTAAAGCTTTACATTTGAATTTGAATTGAATTTCGCGCCTTTCATGAAAACATAAAGTCTCTAGAGATAAGACTTTGTTTTTGTTATTCCCACCATTTGTTTATAATAAAATTATGTTGAATACGCGGCAAAATTTAAAATGTAATAAAAATTAGTAACATTTAAGTAATTATAATGTTAAGTTTTTTGGACAAGTTTATGCACTAGCAGACGTAATTTCATTCAAAAGAGCCTTTAATTCAAAAGATAGTGGAAAGAAGCAAAAATGGTATGTGCATATTTTTTACTAATTTTTTAATTAAATTTATTTATATATCATATAGTATAAAGATATTAATAATGTTAATACTATTTTTTATATGTAGGAAACAAAAAATCTTGAAAATAAAGAAATTAATGCTGAAAAAATGGAAAATAACGATTCATTGGAAGTGATGGAAAAACAGGTATTTTAATTTTACTATTAAGTGAATAAATATTGTTGTTAACAAATAAGATTTTTTTGTTACTGATTTTTAATAGACTGATTGTTGCTAGTTTATTAATTAAAAGTTAAAAAATTTTAAGAGTTTTTTTTAAGATCATTAGTTTCAAAGAGAAGGTTATACTTAAAGAATGTGATGATGTTTATAGTAATTTGAAACCATAGCCAAATTTTATCAGTTGATGTAGATTAGAGTAAGTCCAGTTCAAGAAATAATTTTGAAAGTTTTATATTAAGAAAATTTAAAAATTTTATATTGAGTAAATTTACAATTGTAAATTAACTTTATTAAAGTAATATTATACAAAACTTCAAAATTTTTTAAGTAAATAAATTTTATTAAACAAATTTAGGCAAACAATTTTATGTATAATATTAATGTTTAAATTTTTTTTAGAATAACATTGAAAAAAATCTGGACCAAACAGAAAATTCATTGGAGATTGTCCAAAAAAATGAAGTAAGTTGAATAATTTACTTTGCAAAAAATTATAATTACTCTTTATTAATATTACTAAAAATGAATTAAGCGAAAATAATTTTTCATAAATCAAAGTTGCAAAATTATTTTCACTTAATTAAATTATGCGAAAATCAAGATTGCAAATATAAATTCAGAAAAATTAATTTAGCGAAAAATTAAATTCCCTAGACACTTATTCAATAAAATTCGCAAAAATGAAATTCGTAAAATTTAAATTTGCAAAAATAAAATTCGCAAAAATGAATTTTTCAAAAATGAAATTCGTAAAATTTAAATTTGCAAAAATAAAATTCGCAAAAATGAAATTTGCAAAAATGAAATTTGCAAAAATGAAATTCGCAAAAATGAAATTCGCATAAAGCTGAATTGACTTTTGCTAAATAAGTATTCACAAAAATCAATTTTGCAAAATTGACTTTTGCAAAAAAACTTATTTATCACATACCAATTTAGCAAAATCAAAATTTTTCAAAAAAATCGATTTAGAAAAATTTTGCAAAAAATTGATTTCGCAAAAATACAATTTTGTAAATACTTATGTAGCAAAATCAAAATTTGTCAAAATTTTGCAAAAAAATCGATTTAGAAAAATTTTGCAAAAAATTGATTTCGCAAAAATACAATTTTGTAAATACTTATGTAGCAAAATCAAAATTTGTCAAAATTTTGCAAAAAAATCGATTTAGAAAAATTTTGCAAAAAATTAATTTAGCAAAATCCAAATTTTGCAAAAAATTTATTTAACAAAAATTCAATTTTGTAAAAATAAAATTGACCTTTATTAATATTTTTTGTATATTGCAGGAAACCAAAGATGATAAAAAGAGTGAGGTGAAAAGCTGGTTTGAGGCGACTAAAAAAAGGGTAAATTAATTTTTAATAAAAATAATTTGCATTTTACATATAAAGATAAAATTTTTTATATTTTGTTATTTTAAATATATCTCTTAATATATATATTTAATTTTCATTATAGTAAATGACTTTACCATTACGTGACATCTATGAGCTGTCTTTAGAAGTTTAATATATGTATAGTTGAAAAAAAGTTATTAATTGTACACTTTTTTTAACAGATTTTAGAACAAAATACGGCAAAATTTGCAAAACTAAAAGATGCAGAATATAATCCAAATGCACCAGAATTGTTTGGGGATGAAGATACCCCACCTTGCTTTACAAGGAAGCCGGGAATGCCAAACAGGCATAGCTCAAACGTTCTAATTAAAAGGAAGGAGCATGTTGCGGAGGTTCAGCCGATTATAATCGATGGCTTAGACCTAATTCAAAAAATAAGGAGAAGAAGACAGGAAAAACAAAAAAAAATAGAATTAATTCCACCACAAAAATTAAAAAGAAGGGGAAAAAAGGGATCTCCAAAGGAAAATTTGATGTCGTCATTGAGGAAAATGAAAAAAAATAAATAGTGTTATTTTACAAATTCAATTTTATATTTTTAAACTATTTTTTTACTTTTATTGTTTTATTAAAGTTTTCATTTTTTATATATTAGTATCTTTTTTAGCTTTTTAATAAATATTAAGGAAAATAATCTATTTTTTTATACACATATTTATATCTTTTCATTTTTTTCTAATAAATATTAAGTTTATTCTATATATTAGGCTAAATAATATATTTTTTTATTTCAAGTGTTAAATATAGATTTGAAATGTTCTATTTTTATACGGATATTTATATGTTTTCATTTTTTTCTAATAAATATTAAGTTTTTTTCTATATATTAGGCTAAATAATAAATTTTTCTACCAATGTTAAATATAGATTTAAAATGTTAAAATAAATAATCTTTAATATCAACCTAACCTAAAAATTAATCCTAAATCCCTTTTTTTAAAATAACACCTATCATTATACAACAATTTAGCAAAAAATTAAATTTGCAATAATTAAATTTCTAAATTACAAAGTTATACTTAATTAAAAATTTTAATTTTTTCAAGAAATAAAATTTGCAAAAAAATTAATTTTACAATTATTCAAAACTAATATAATATTTAAAAAAAAAATTTAAATTTTAAGAAGTTAATTTTTCAAATATATTTTGAATTCAAATTATTTTCCCGCGTAACTGTCAGCGCGCTTCTAGTTCTACTCACTCTCCACAAGAATCGCTCCTGTAGTTTCTCTACATTACAGTGGTGGGAGAAAATTAACGAGGGTAAGTGTATTGCTATTAATTAGCATATTCGACCGAGACTTCGACCAGTGCAGTCAAGCATGGAAGACTGCTCCTGCTTCCACTGCCTCGTGAGGGTGATGTCGGCCTATAATGTAAGTATTAATTAATTATTTAATAATAATTATTTAAACAATAATTATTTAAACAATAATTATTTAATAATAATTATTTAAACAATAATTAATTAATAATAATTTATTAGTTACAGAACCCAGGCAATGAGGTGCCCCTACCCTCCACACCACCGGGGTCACCTGCACCCTGGCATCAGCCAGAGACGCCATCTTGGGTGGAATTGGGGACACCAGAGCCGATGTCCCCACTCCGGTCGATTGCCCATCAATATCGGCCGGATTCACCACCCTGGGCGAGGGTGCAGAGGCCTTCACCTCTACCGCCACCGCGATCGCCAACGCCACCGCGATCACCAACGCCACCGCGATCGCCAACGCCACCGCGATCGCCAACGCCGCCGCGATCACCAACACCCCCGCCACCGAAATCGCCGACTCCACCGCCTACCAATGAACGTAGGCGGCGCGGTGGTCGTCATCGGCGTAGGGTTATATTGAAACTTAAAATTAAAATTATATTAAATAATTTAAATCAATAAAAGTTTAAATGTATATTAAAAGTATATCTTTCTTTTATACATATTCTCTGCGCGACCGTAGAATAAGGGTAGTGGTTAATCGTTCACTAGATTTACCTACAGTCGGTAAGTTACCAACCAAGCCAATACCGACTGTAGATAAATCTGCATTACCAACTGTTTGTAAGTTACAGACTGTTGGTAAATAATAATAAGAGTGCTAGTTAAAAGTCCACTGCGCATGCGTAAAGTAAGAGTGGTGATACCATGTCCACTGCGCATGCGTAAAATAAGAGTGGTGGTAAAGTAAGAGTGGTGGTAAAATAAGAGTGGTGGTTTAACGTCCACTGCGCATGCTCAACAGTTGGACTTTCGGGATATAAATTGAAGTTTTGCGAGTTGATTTTTCATTCTATTCTGTGAGCTCATGCAGCCTAGTCGCAGCAAGAGTTAACAGCGAGTAGAGTGTTCTGATTTTATATTTTTTCACTTTTCTTATTTTTTAAGATTTTATAATGGTAGGCAAACGAAAGTGTACCGATAACCAAGTACCTGTAAAACGTATAAATTATAAGACCATTCTTGATGAGTATGACATATCACTTACACTCATTAAGGATGCTCTTGAATTGCTTTCAAGTTTGCGTAATGGCGTAGATAAAAATGAATTTATAGTACGATGGGTTGCGGAATGTTCTCGAAATGAGTTACTTTTAACAAATATTTTAAGATATATGTATTTTACGCATGAGAAAAGTCGATGTGAGAACATTCTGCAATCCTTTGTGAGATATAGAGTATTGTTTCAATCTCATGCGGTAGAGGGCGCTGGCTTACAAGACTCAGATATTACTAAGCGTGTACGATGGGCTATGTGTGAGAATGCGTTTGAATGTAGATTGTACACGTATGTTATAATAAATATTGTACATATAGATATAAGTAGGTTTTTAGATGATGCATCCATTTTGTTTAAAGAGCACATTACCGATGTTTTAAAACAAAATGGTTCCCTCATTGTCTACAGCGTTCTGACAGCTTATTTCAAAAGGGTGCAAAATGAAGAAGAGGTAGTTATTCCAATACCGTTTACAGCAAAATCTAGCAGTATTTTTCTAACAACCCCATTGGAGGAATGGTTTGATGTAAATATGAAGCAGCCAATTTTAAAAAATGTTGAAGAGTTTTATGCAAAAGGATCTAATTGGAATCTACAATCTATAGGTAAATTAGAAATTAATGTAAATAAATATAATCCTTTACGTGCTAGTTCATATATTGATTTACCTGTTAAAATCAAGATAAAACATGCGTGTATTAATGTACATAATGATAGAGACAATGAATGTTTTAAATGGGCTGTTCTTTCAGCTTTACATCAAAATTTAACTAGAAGTGACCGTGTTTCTACTTATAAGAATTTTGAAAATGAGTTAAATTTTAAAGGAATCGAATTTCCTGTAGCATTAAAAAGTATAGCGAAATTTGAAAAACTTAATGATATATCTATAAATGTCTACGGTCTAGCAAAAAAGTATGGTAATTTTTCAGTTCACCCGCTACATTTAACTGTAGAAAAGAGGAGGAAGCATGTAAATCTACTGCATGTAGTAGATTCATATGTTGATGAAAATATGAATAATGATGTTAATGCAAATTGTGACGATATTAATTTTATGAATTTCCATTACGTTTGGATAAAAGATTTTTCACGACTCATATCAAAGCAATTGTCTAACAATAATGGTAGAAAGTATATATGTGACCGATGTCTTCACTATTTCCATTCAGATGAAAAATTAAATGTACACACTGAAAATTGTAAAAAATTGAATGAATGTAAAGTAATTTTGCCAAAGCCTGATAAATGTATGATTACTTTTAAAAATTATAAGAATAGGGAAAAAGTTCCATTTATTATTTACGCTGACTGTGAGAGTTTACTTCTACCTGTAGAAGATGATGTAGATAATTTAAGTAAAACTAAGATATTCCAGCGTCATAAGTTATTAAGTATTGGTTATTATATAAAATGTAGCTATGACGAATCTCAATGCAAGTATGTTGCTTGTCCGAAGCAGGAATCCGACCCTGCTAAATGGTTTTCTGAGGAATTAAGGCAATTATCTGAAAAAATTGATAAAATATTTAAAAAACCATTACCAATGGATACCTTAACTCCTCAGCAAGTCAGTGACTTTAATAGAGCCGTAATGTGTCACATATGTCATCAGAAAATACCAGCAAATGTAAAGAAAGTCCGTGATCATTGTCACCTTACTGGTAAATATAGGGGTGCTGCCCATGAGTCATGTAATTTAAATTATCAAGATTGTCAGACTATTCCCGTAGTATTTCACAATTTAAGTGGCTATGATGCACATTTCATTATACATGCAATTTCAACAAGTTTTGAAGGTCATATAAGTCTACTTCCCATCAATAAGGAGAAATATATCTCCTTTATTAAACATGTTAAAGGTAGTGAGGTTAAATTTAGATTTATTGACTCATTCCGATTTATGGCAGCATCCCTTGAAAAACTCGCATCCTATTTAGATGAATATAAAATTGTACATTCTGTTTTTGCCAATACTGTGAGTAATCCTGATAAAATTAAATTATTAACTAGAAAGGGTGTATTCCCCTACGAGTATTTTGATTCAAAAACCAAGCTTGATGAGACGCAACTACCTCCGATAGAGAAATTTTATAGTACGCTTTACGATGCGGGCATTTCTGATGATGAATATAAGCATGCACAGAACGTATGGATTGAGTTTGATTGCAAAAATCTCTATGACTATGTCCATTTATATATGAAAACTGATGTACTATTACTAGCAGATGTTTTTGAAAATTTTCGAGAACAATGTGTTAAAGCGTATGGGTTAGATCCTGCACACTATTATACAACCCCTGGTTTAACTTGGGATGCCATGCTCAAGTATACGAGTATAGCATTGCAACTTATAACCGATATTGATATGGTTATGTTTGTTGAGTCAGGTATCAGAGGTGGCATTAGTCAATGTTGTAACCGTTATGCCAAAGCGAATAATCCTTATATATATAAATTCGACGAAAATAAAGATACCAGCTATATAATGTACTTTGATGCCAATAATTTGTATGGCTGGGCAATGGCACAAGCGCTTCCATATGGCGGTTTCAAATGGGTTGATCATGTCAACGATACTTTTGATTTTAATGTACCTGACGATTCTTCTGTTGGGTACATATTGGAAGTGGATTTAGAGTATCCTGAAAGTATTCATGATACTCATAAAGACATGCCATTTTGCGCAGAAAAAGCAAAGCCGCCTATGTCGAAACAAGAGAAATTGTTAACCACTTTGCTGCCGAAAAAAAAATATGTCATACACTATAGAACGCTAAAACAAGTTTTATCAAATGGTATTAAACTTGTAAAAATACATCGTGTTTTACAGTTTAAGCAATCAACTTGGCTTAAACCATACATTGATTATAACACGATGATGCGAACTAATGCTAAAAACGAGTTTGAAAAGAATTTGTTCAAACTCATGAACAATGCAGTGTATGGCAAAACAATGGAAAATGTTCGTAAACATGTTGATGTAAAGCTTGTTACACAGTGGTTTGGCCGTTACGGAGCAGAAGCTCTCATATCCCGACCAAATTTCCGTAGTCGGGCAATATTTGATGAAAATCTGGTTGCCATTGAATTAACTAAAACCGAGGTACTGCTCAACAAACCGATATATGTAGGGTTAAGTGTGCTTGATATATCCAAAACGTTAATTTATGATTTTCACTATAGTTATATGTTGAATAAATATGGTAACGCTTGTAAACTGTTGTATACTGATACAGACAGTCTAGTCTATGAAGTTAAATGTCAAGATATTTATAAGGATATGAAAGAAGATATTGATAAGTTTGATACATCAGATTATCCCGCGAATAATGTGTATGGGATACCGCAAGTCAACAAAAAAATACTCGGCCTTATGAAAGATGAATGTAATGGTAAAATAGTTACTGAATTTGTTGGCTTGCGGAGTAAGATGTACAGCATTCGTGTTGAAGATAAAGATTATATTAAAAAAGCAAAAGGTATTAAAGCCGGCGTTGTAAAAAAATCAATTCATTTTGATGATTATGTAAAATGTCTGCGAGATTTTGACATTCAAACTCGAACGCAGTATAATATAAGATCACGGCTTCACAATCTTGAAACTGTGAAGCAGGTAAAAGTAGCTTTAAGTCCACTAGATGATAAACGGTATTTGTTACCAGAGAGTACCGATACTCTACCGTGGGGTCATTATGCGATCCCAAATTCTGATGAAGTGTAAATAGTTTGTAAGAATAATAAATGAAACAAATTTATATTAATTTCATGTGTTGTTTATTATAAAATCCTTATATCTATACATAATAACTTAAAATTATAACTTATACTTAATTTAATAATGAATCAATAATGAATCAATAATGAATCAATAATGAATCAATAATGAATCAATAATGAATCAATAATGAATCAATAATGAATCAATAATGAATCAATAATGAATCAATAATGAATCAATAATGAATCAATAATGAATCAATAATGAATCAATAATGAATCAATAATGAATCAATAATGAATCAATAATGAATCAATAATGAATCAATAATGAATCAATAATGAATCAATAATGAATCAATAATGAATCAATAATGAATCAATAATGAATCAATAATGAATCAATAATGAATCAATAATGAATCAATAATGAATCAATAATGAAACGTTTTCAACTATATATTTGCTTTATCTTCCCAAGTATTGTGAGAGTTGTCAAATCCTAGCCATTTCACAAGAACTTTGTTTCCACGTGTCTTGAGAATTTTTTCAACCAGATAAATATCTGAATATTTCACTTTAAGAAGCTCCTCTTCATAAAATCCTCCACTGATGGCTTCGTCTTGGTAATCCTTAAGTTTATAAGTCACAGGTTGAGTTGATTCAACTTTATCGATGGTGAATATTTCAGTTGACCAATTGGGAGTGTAGCCTTTCTCAAACATGTTTTTATATTTACTGACTCGAACTTTGTCACCAATTTTAAACTTTGACCTTTTCAAAGGTATCTTTCTTAACTTTAAAAATCGTTCTTTTAAAATTTCTACATCTTCTGCAGTTACATCATTAGGCTTCATTCCAATTGTTCGATGTTTTGTATCATTGTAATTGGAAACAAGCGTATTTATTATGTCATACCACTTGTAATTTCCTCGTAAACTAAATTGCATCCACATTTTTCTTTTCAAAGTTCTATTAAATCGTTCGACAATGGATGCTTTCATATTACTATATGTTGAGTATAAATTAATTTTATGCTTTTTCATTAAAGCTTTAAACTGTGAATTGTAGAATTCTTTACCTTTATCTGTATGCAGGTTTTTTGGTATACGTCCTTTGACAAAAATAGACTTCATTGCATCGGTGACGTCATTTCCATTTTTACTTTTTACAGCAATAGCCCAAGCATACTTGGAAAATGTGTCTATTACTGTTAGTAAGTACTTAAAACCTTTATTTACTTTAGAATAAGGTAACATTTCCACTAAATCAGCTTGCCAGGTCTCATCGATATCACGCATTTCAACGCGGCGACGATGATAACTCTTTCTCGCTTGTGTGTGAATTTCTTTCACTACTGTCAACTTTTTGTCATTCATTTTCAAGAGCTCTCAAACGACTGTCCAGTTCACCAATAATTTCAGCGTTTTTATATGATAAATCTTGATTTATTTGTCTTTCAAGATTGTATAATTTTTCTGATACTGAGCCTTCCAAAGTTTTTAATAGCACATTTCCGTTGTCAGTATCCAATAAATTTTTCTTTGTTTGTTTCTCAAGAGCTTTCGTTTCATTTTCTAGAACTCTCATACGAGTATCTAGATCACCAATGATTTCAGCGTTTCGATAAGATAAATCTTGATTTATTTGTCTTTCAAGATTGTTTAATTTTTCTGATACTGAACCTTCAAGAGTTTTTAACAACACATTACTATTATCAGTATCAAATAAATTTTTCTTTGTTTGTTTTTCAAGAGTTTTTGTTTCATTTTCAAGAGCTCTCATACGAGTATCTAGTTCACCAATAATTTCAGCGTTTCTATATGATAAATCTTGATTTATTTGTCTTTCAAGATTGTTTAATTTTTCTGATACTGAACCTTCAAGAGTTTTTAATAACACATTACTATTATCAGTATCAAATAAATTTTTCTTTGTTTGTTTTTCAAGAGTTTTCGTTTCATTTTCAAGAGCTCTCATACGAGTATCTAGTTCACCAATAATTTCAGCGTTTCTATATGATAAATCTTGATTTATTTGTCTTTCAAGATTGTTTAATTTTTCTGATAACGAGCCTTCAAGAGTTTTTAATAACATATTACTATTATCAGTATCAAATAAATTTTTCTCTGTTTTCATTTCATTTTCAAGAACTCTCAAACGAGCATTGATTTCACCAAGAATTTCTACGTTTTTATATGATAAATCTTGATTAATTTGTCTTTCAAGATTTTTTAATTTTTCTCCTATAGAGTCTTCATGAGTTTTTAATAATACATTACTGTTATCAATGTCTAGAAAATTTTGATTTATTTGTTTCTCTAGATTTTGAAGTTTATCTGTTACAGAAGCTTCAAGAATTTTTAACAACATGTTACTGTTGTCAATATCTAATCGTAGTGAAGACGTAACTTGATATACTAGTCGCACTTCGTTCTTTATCATACGTTGAGTAAGTAATAAATTAACTGCATCACCCTCTGCTTTAGCTTTTGCAAGGTTACAAATTCTTTTACCTTCACAGTCATAATTATCTTCTGAATCTACTTTAAAACCAACTCCAGGAGGTCCAGGTGGTCCTCGTTTTGCTGCTACAGTTCCTCCTCTATTGAGGGGATGTCCGAACACATCAATGCTCATGATTGAAATGGATAAAATTTGCAGAAACATGTCTTAATATATGATTTTAGCTTCTCGCAATTCTTCAATGATGGACATTATTTCATTATTATGACTAGGATTACCAGCTGATTGAGATGCCATGAGAAGCCGAAGACGGTCAACCAATTCATTCGGGTCATCCCAATAGATATAGTCTGGTTTAAAATTTCTGTTTGTAATCATAAATTTGGGCAGTGAACTACCACTGACATATGGTTCTCTTCTTTGTGGGAACAGTCCAGATATAAAATTCATAAATTTAAAATTTTTATCTGTACGAATTGGTTCAGAGGAGCTATATTTCTTTTTATGTGCATTGGAAGCAATAAGAATTTCTTTATAATTTCTCTCATCTTCTTTACTAATATATGCTTTCTCAGGTTTATTTTTAAATAAAAGTTCTAATAACCCAGTGGTAACATTAAAACGTTTATCTCCAATATTCACCAAGTGCCCTATTAAAAATTTCCACGTCGGAAACTACGAAATAAATCACGTTGTAAACTACGTCGAAAACCATGTTGTAAATAGCGTCGAAAAGAACGTCGTAAACTACGACGATTACGACGTTGGAAATTGGAATAGTAGAATGCAACGTCGTATACGACGTAATAAACGATCATACGATTTTCATTGTCCGGAAAATGAATAGAAATTAAAAAACAGCCGAGAAATACAAAATAAACAACTATAGAATCCGTAAAAGTTGGAAATAGTGACTAAAATAACAAATTAATAAAATTTTAAGTTTATTGTAATTGATTTAATTTTAATAATTTATACTTAAAAGCTTGAAAAGAATTTTTAAAATTTTTTCATTTGTTTATTTAAATTGATTACAATTAATCACTAAAGTATCGTCTATTATAGAAATTGTTAAATTATTTTAATTAATAAGTTTTGTAGCAGAATAATTTAGAAAAAAAAATCAAAAAGTTTTAAGGTGAGATAATGAACATAAGGTTAGAGAAATAAAAATTTAAATCCTTTAAAATATTTTTCAGCAAGATAAATAGTAATGTAGTGAAAATAATTATTTTTAACAGGAATTATATCTACAATAAAATAATAGCTTCAGTAGATTAATAATGTCTTTATTAAATACGTATGGAGCACACAATTCGGAAATAAGTATTATTAATTACTGTTGCTTAATAATCGAGAATTATTTAAACAGGAAACTATAAAAATTTTGCAATTTTTAAAAAATATTTCGCGAGTAAAATATTTTTCAAGTTGAAAAATTCAAAAGGAATGTTAACTTTAAAGTAAATAATTAATATCAATTCAAATCAGAAAAGTTGACTTTTCAACGGTATCTTCTTCGCACATCGTACAGCTTATTTTTCATATAAGTTGGGATCTTTTTCATTCTTAATTTTCTCTGTCTTCCTGACACTCCAGAATCCGTGATTTTGTTGTACAGACAGTCTATCATTAAAAAAAGAAAGTTATTAAAAAATACAAACCTTATTAGAATATTAAGAACATAAAATATTCCTATTAATTTAGAGTAAAATAATATTTATTAGTTTAATTAATTAAATAATAATTAAAATTAATAATAAAATGAAATTCTTGAAACTCATAATTTTTTAGTGCAATACTGTGAAAAAATTGATGCAAATTTGCTGGATAAATTTAAACTTTTTTTAAAATTATGGTTAATCAAATATTAATTATTTTTAATTAATTAATTAATTTATTGTTATAAATAAAAATTAACATAAATTAGTTACTTTTTTCGGATTAAATTTTTTTTAGTTAAAATTTTTTTATTGAAATTTATATATAAATTGAAAATTTATTAGGAAATGTATTGCCATAAGTAAAGAAATTTTAATTAAACTTATAACTTTTCAAAATCTCATAAGTTGCAGGAGTCAATGGTCTTCTTATTTCTTCTCCTTCGACTCTATTCATATTTGCTCTTTCAGCATTTAAGCAACGTAGCCTCAGTTCATCTCTGGTCCATAATACATCCGCTACGTCTCGCACAAACTTTGAATCTGAACGGGTCAACATCAACTCCCATACGTCAAGATGAACCCTTCTATCTTCTCGAAGATATACCTAAAGTGAAAAATTGTAACTAGCATTAATAAAAATAACGGAATTAGAAAAAACCTTTAATATTTTACTAAAAGTCATTATTTTAAGCAGCTAAAGTAAAACTTGATTTCAATGAAACAAAACAAAAATTAAAAATACACAGGTTCGTTCCTCTAATTCTAAATTGTCAAAATAAAAAAATTATTTTCATTATTTTTATATGTATCTGTTATTCTTATTATTGGTTTTAAATACACACCCAATCATTTGCATTCACGATGCGATTTCCTACAACACGTCTATTAGGGTCATGATTTTCGAAAGGTGGAGGATTTTCCGGAGATTCTTGATATTCAGGTCTACGATGTTCTGCAGCCCTAAGTGGACGTCCTCCCAGATGTCTATCAGGTTCAGGATTATCAATGGGTGAAGGATTTCGTGCACGCTCATGATGACCAAGTCTTTGATGGTCTCTGGCCGGAGGTGAATGTCTTTCAACATGTCCATCAGGTCCAGGGTTATCAATTGGTGGAGAATTTCCAGCCCGCTCATTATTACCAGGTCTTTGTTGATCTCTGGCCCTAGGTCGACGTTCTTGAACATTTCCATGAAGTTCAGGGTTTTCAACAGGTGGAGAATTTCCAACGCGATCATAATGGCCAGGTCTTTGATGCTCTCCGATTCTAGGTTCACGTCTTTCAACATATTCATCAGGTCCAGGGTTCTCAATGGGTGGAGGATTTCGTGCACGCTCATGATGACCAAGTCTTTGATGGTCTCTGGCCCGAGGAAGTCCAGTCTTTGCAGAAAGTCGATCATTATGAGGCGCTGCAGATTTTTCTTTGTCTAGTCCAAGTAGTCTAGTATTTCCCTGACTTGTAGAAGGTCGACAATTTTCCTTGTCTGAATCATCTAAAAATGATAGTATTTTTATATGATTAAATGCAATTTTTATTTACAAAATACGTATTTTAACTTACCACCAGAATTTTCCAAATGCCCAGAATTTTGAACAATTTTAGAGTTTCCAGAAGATCGAAAATTGATTGAAGATGTAGAATCGTCAGAATTGTCATCATTCTCCTCATCCGAATATTGTGAATCTACTTCTTCCAGAGATCGACGATTATCAGCTAAAAATTTGTAAATATTAGAATTTAAATTCTCTTTTTGGCCCTATTTTCAGAGTATAAAATATTTTACAAAAAAATATTTTTGGTATAATTTAACTAATTTAAGTTTTAAAGAATTTTTTAGAGAACATTTTTTTAAATATAATTGTATATAATTAATTAATATAATTGAAATTTTATAAAATTTGAAAAAACTTTAAAAACGTAAACAAAATATAAAAAAATTAATTTTTAATCTGTTTTTAAATATCAGAACAATTAAATTATTTTAATTTACTATCAGAATGATTACCTGAGAAACTTATAGAATTTGATGACATTAAAACGGTATCGTTTCTTCCCAAACTCTCGTCGTCAGATTCGACAATGATTTCCCTGCTTTTCATGTGTTCCTCGTACTTAGTCATGATACTCTCATTTTGCTTTCCTTTTGCCTCTTGTCGAATTTTGGATTGTTTTTTACGTTTCCTTTTCGGCTTTTCCACACTGCTGGTCGACTGAAAACTCATAAGATTTCTGTTCGGCAGTCTCAAACGCGATTCATTTTTCTTTTTTTCCAGATGCTTTTTACTCTCTGTAGAAAAAAAAGTTGAATTTTGAATTTTATTTCTTAATTAATAAAACAATTTTAGGACGAATTTTTATATCAAACTTGAATGAATAAAGGAATAAAAGTCTATTGAAATTCATTTTCTATCATACGACCCCATGAAAATTGAGCACAAAAATTAGTGGCAAAAATTTTACAATTCCGCAAAAATTTGTTTGTCCTTTTATGCACAGAAAAAATATAAAGTAACTTTCACGACTTTAAAAATTAAGTCTAAACTATTTGGAACTTCTGGATGTTGGAAATAAGAAAAAAATATTTTAAAGCAATACTTACTTCCTAATAAAATAATGAATGCGTTTAATAAATCGCCTTTTCCTTTTCCATTTCCAGTCCAGACTTTGTACTTTTTCTTGTTGTCGAAATCATTTTCACTTTTTGGATTGAAATTTAATACACAACTTATGGGCACAAATTGTTTAACGCCACTTTTAAAATACACGTAGGCATGAGAGATAGACATTTCTCCTTTCTTCGAGAAATTAAAATAGCTTGAGAAAATATGTTGTTTTTTTTAAAAAAATAACATCATTTGTGTTACCAAAGCAACATTGATTCTCAGGTTAAACGATTGACAGAATATAACAATTGAAGTAGATGAGTGAAGATAGACAAAAAACAATTTGAATGTGTCGAACGTGACTGTAAAAATTGTCATTGGTTAAAAGATGACAATTTGAATTTGTCAAACGTTATTTTTAAAAATTTTTATTGGTTGAAAGTTTGATCATGAATAAGCCAAAAAGATATAAAAGATATCTCGAATCTGGTTCTAATGAACCTATTCCAGCGACAACAATGTACAGATATAAAAAGTCGGGGAAAGAAACGGTAAGTATATAAAATTATCAAATGCAATTCATTTACATTAAAACTTTTATAGTTTTCATGACTAGTCAATATTTATACTTATTAAAATTATTAACTTATTTATTAGTATAAATGATTAATTAATAAATTATTATTTACGCGAAATTCATTTCTAAGATAAACTCTATAATTCGTTCTATGGTAAAATTTGTTTTATTCAAGGGAGGAGCTCAGCATCAACAAAATATTGAAAACGAGAGTGAAAATCAGCAACAGATAAATTATGAGAATTTACAAAATTTAGAAAATTTGGAATCTCATTATTCACATCCTGCCGATGAACCCATGGAATTCTCTAAATCTTTAAACAATGAAACTAATAAGCAAGAAACTCCCATTGACAACTTTCAAGTAAGTATCTCCCAATATTTAGATATTCAAGATATTTCTGGAACATCCTAAATGATAAGCCTGAGTACCCGATTTTTAGGAAAGTAAAATCGTGTGTTTTATAATAGTAAAAAATTTAAAAACATTTTTCACTAATTTTACATTAACTGGTCCATTTTACAGAATCCATCATCTGATAGAACTGATGATGAAATAAAAATTTCCGAAATTCTAAAGTCACTGGCTGAAGAAATTGATTCGACTGAAAATGAAGTAAAGGGCAGTACTGAGGTGAATTGATCATTTTTATTTTACATAAATAATATTCAAAAACTTGATCGACTTATTTGTTTTATTTTAAACAAATTGTAACACGTTTTAAGAAATCTTTTCTATTTTTGCAGAGGATGATAAATACTTTGCAATAATACGATAAAAAAATTCATACTAAATTTTGGTATTTTAACTTTCTAGTTTTTACAAATTGACACATCAATCGCTACCTTTCATTAACTCAATAATAAAATTTTTTTTAATAAATCAAATTATTAGTTTATTAAATTTTAAATTTAAATTATACTTGAAAAATAAATAATAAAAGTAAATAATAAATATAAAAAAATTTTATTAATTTTTTTATTATTATTTTATTTATTAATTAATTTATTTATTTATTAAAAAAGCATACTCTTACTCTTATAAGTACCAAAAGTTTTCTTAAGTGTGTTTTTGGAGCACGAAATATAAAAATTTCATTTTTTTCTTGTTTTCGAGGTAAAAATTACTTAAAAAAATATTTATTCATAATAAATTCAATATTTTGAAAAGAAATAAAGTTAGAGTAATTCTAAAATTAACATTCTTAAATTCTTAAAGTTTATCAAATTCCATCTCCATAATGAGCAAAATATAAATCATTTTAAATTAATAGATTATAAAGAAATAATTATTAATAAAAATGAATTAATTAGAGGTGTGCAAAAAGCCCGAAAACTCGGGTCGGGTCGGGCTGAGTTTTTTTCGGGTCGTGTCGGGTTCGGGCTACCCGAAATGTCGGGTAACCGAAATTTTCGGGTAACCGAATGCGTTCGGATACCCGAAAAAATCGGGCTACCAGAAAATTTCTGGTTACCCGAAAAACTCGGGTACCCGAATTTATGCGGATTTTTGAAACCACTCCAGTTAAAAAAATTTTGCTTTTTTAAAAAATTTTGAGTACTGGATGTATCGGGAAAGTTCAAACCCTCATCTTTAACACTTTGGATGCAAAACCTTTAATTTAAAAAATATATTAATGGGACCATTCACAAATTATATAACGCCATTAGGGGGAGGGTGGGGTCTTCAAAATTACTACGCTGCGTTATGAGAGGGTGGGGGGCGGAGTGATTTTTTACGTAACGCATTTGCTTTTCATCTCATATGCATATTTGCCCACGGAAAGGAAATAAATAGAAAATTTTATAAAAGTGCTTTTCAATTCATGGAAACGAAACTCACAAGCGAAATTTTCATTTAAGATATACTAATTTTTAAAACACTTTTATGAAATTTACTACAGTTATATTAAAATTCGATAAAACTTGTACCAAATTTGAATAAAACTGTACTAAATTTTATAAAAGTGTTTTAAAGATTATATTTTTGATATCAAAATTTCGCTTCTGAGCGAAATCTGAGTTTCCAGGGTTCCACGTGTCAAGGAAGTCAGGGATATCAGGGAAATGTTAAGAAAAATTTAATTTGTCTGGGAAGTAAGGGAAATGTCAGGAAAAAAAATTTTTTGTCAGGGAAATCTTTGAAATTGAGTGAAATAAGAAATCAAAAAAATAATTAAAATTTCTAAAAAATTGAAAATAATTTTATAATGTAAAATATGTAAGATTTCAATTTAAATTTTAACTTTTAAAAACACTTATTTAATTTTTTTATTATTGACAATACCTTCAAGTTTTTGCATCTAGGTCAGGGAAAAATAAAATAAAATTTTAGTGACAACTCTGGTTCTTCTAAATTTGTATGAGTTAAAAATTCAATTATTCCCAGTTTTAATCAGTTAATAATTTAATTATCCAAAATTTTAATCAATTACTTAGAAATAGTGAGAAAACTACGTAACGTTCTAGGGAGGGGGGGGGTCAAAAATGTTCCAAATAAGCGTTACGTATTTTGTGACGGGCCCCTAAATTTTTCAAAATTAAAAATGCAACTCCTAAATTTGAAAATATGAAGTATCAATCCTGTATTGTAATTCTTTTCTAAAGATTTGTTGAAAAAACGTCATTTTTAATTATAATAATTATTTACAGGAGGAAAATGAACTGGATTTTTTCTCTGCCACAAATGACGAAGGAGTTTTTGAAGATCCTGTGGCAGCAGAAGCTGAAGAAAATTCAAATTCTTTTAATTCTTATGAAGATTTCATAGATAGTGAATCATTTAAAAGACCCATTACAGCTAAACCAAACAAAACTATCGGTGAAGTAGTTTTAATGATTTTAAAATTTATCCTCGTTCATGCACTTTCTCTGACTGAAACGACTGACCTTTTTCTTCTGATTAACTGCATATTTTCGGAATCCATTTTACCAACAACTAAATACCTGATAGATAAACTTTTCTATCCAAAAAATACAATGACACTTCACGCAACTTGTACAAAATGTGGTGCATACATAGGAAAATTTGATAGAAGTACTCATTTTCTCAAATGCAAAATATGCAAAACAAAAATTAATGTTAAAAGTCAATCATATAAAGATTTCTTTGTTATGATGAATGTTGCATCTCCAATTTCTAAATTAATCGAAGCAAACAGCGAATATTACGACCATGTAGTAAATAATACAGTTCACGAAAAAGGTAGATTTCGGGATATTTATGATGGCAGGAAATACAGGGAATTTGTAAAGAATTTAAGTGATTCAGATAAACACAATTACGCAACACTAGTTTTTAATACTGATGGTGCACCGCTATTCGCAAGCTCATCCTATTCTATCTGGCCTATCTTTTTGATGGTTAATGAAGTACCATTTGATGTTCGAACCAAGGAATTAATTCTTGCTGGGCTCTGGTTTGGAAAAGATAAGCCAGATATGAATGTATTCCTTGAACCGTATGTAGACGAGATGCGTGAACTTTCGACAAAGGGAGTTGAATGCATTATAAACGGAATAAAAAGAGTAATTAAAATTTTTAATTTGGTCTGTTGCGTGGATTCGGTAGCCCGTGCACCAGTGCAAGGTTTTCTTCAATTTAATGGTAGATATGGTTGCGGACTATGTCTCCACCCGGGCGAGTGGGTTGAAAATAATAACAATTCGAAAAAACGATCTGGAACTATTAAATATCCCCTAATGAACGAAGTTCCTAAAAATAGAAATGTCAAAGACACTCTAAAACATATGGACAAAGCTTCTACTTCGAAAAAACCTATTTTCGGAGTAAAATGCCCATCACAATTGATAAATTTGTTTCAATATGACATAATTTATGGTTGTGTTGTTGAGCCCTTGCACTGCTGTTCTGGAATTGCGAAACAGTTCGCAGCTATGTGGTTTGGAACTTTAAAAAAGGTTGGCTTATTATCCAGAAATTATATTCCTGACATCGATGAAATTATGGCTACTATAAAGGTGCCAAATCAACTTTCCCGACTCATAAGAGCATTCTCTGAACGAGCATATTGGAAGGCCCGTGAGTGGGAAAATTGGACCTTTTATTACAGCTTGATTGTTCTTAAAGACATAGTGCCAGATAATCTGTTGATGCATTGGACTCTTTTTGTTGAAGCTATTTACATATTATCACAACAGGAAATTACGATCAAAGAAATTGACTATGCTGACAAGTTACTTCACGAATTTGTTGGTCGTGTGGAATCTCTGTACACGAAAGCATCGATGACATTTAACGTCCACTTGCTCTTACATCTAGCAAGAACTGTTTTAGACTGG